TTGTTGCCGCGGGAGATGCGCACCTTGTTGCCACGGGAGATGCGCACCTTGTTGCCGCGGGAGATGCGCACCTTGTTGCCACGGGAGATGCGCACCTTGTTGCCACGGGAGATGCGCACCTTGTTGCCACGGGAGATGCGCACCTTGTTGCCGCGGGAGATGCGCACCTTGTTGCCACGGGAGATGCGCACCTTGTTGCCGCGGGAGATGCGCACCTTGTTGCCGCGGGAGATGCGCACCTTGTTGCCACGGGAGATGCGCACCTTGTTGCCGCGGGAGATGCGCACCTTGTTGCCGCGGGAGATGCGCACCTTGTTGCCACGGGAGATGCGCACCTTGTTGCCACGGGAGATGCGCACCTTGTTGCCACGGGAGATGCGCACCTTGTTGCCGCGGGAGATGCGCACCTTGTTGCCACGGGAGATGCGCACCTTGTTGCCACGGGAGATGCGCACCTTGTTGCCGCGGGAGATGCGCACCTTGTTGCCGCGGGAGATGCGCACCTTGTTGCCGCGGGAGATGCGCACCTTGTTGCCGCGGGAGATGCGCACCTTGTTGCCGCGGGAGATGCGCACCTTGTTGCCACGGGAGATGCGCACCTTGTTGCCACGGGAGATGCGCACCTTGTTGCCACGGGAGATGCGCACCTTGTTGCCGCGGGAGATGCGCACCTTGTTGCCACGGGAGATGCGCACCTTGTTGCCGCGGGAGATGCGCACCTTGTTGCCGCGGGAGATGCGCACCTTGTTGCCACGGGAGATGCGCACCTTGTTGCCGCGGGAGATGCGCACCTTGTTGCCGCGGGAGATGCGCACCTTGTTGCCACGGGAGATGCGCACCTTGTTGCCACGGGAGATGCGCACCTTGTTGCCACGGGAGATGCGCACCTTGTTGCCGCGGGAGATGCGCACCTTGTTGTCACGGGAGATGCGCACCTTGTTGCCACGGGAGATGCGCACCTTGTTGCCACGGGAGATGCGCACCTTGTTGCCACGGGAGATGCGCACCTTGTTGCCACGGGAGATGCGCACCTTGTTGCCGCGGGAGATGCGCACCTTGTTGCCACGGGAGATGCGCACCTTGTTGCCACGGGAGATGCGCACCTTGTTGCCACGGGAGATGCGCACCTTGTTGCCACGGGAGATGCGCACCTTGTTGCCGCGGGAGATGCGCACCTTGTTGCCGCGGGAGATGCGCACCTTGTTGCCACGGGAGATGCGCACCTTGTTGCCACGGGAGATGCGCACCTTGTTGCCACGGGAGATGCGCACCTTGTTGCCGCGGGAGATGCGCACCTTGTTGCCACGGGAGATGCGCACCTTGTTGCCGCGGGAGATGCGCACCTTGTTGCCGCGGGAGATGCGCACCTTGTTGCCACGGGAGATGCGCACCTTGTTGCCGCGGGAGATGCGCACCTTGTTGCCGCGGGAGATGCGCACCTTGTTGCCACGGGAGATGCGCACCTTGTTGCCACGGGAGATGCGCACCTTGTTGCCACGGGAGATGCGCACCTTGTTGCCGCGGGAGATGCGCACCTTGTTGCCGCGGGAGATGCGCACCTTGTTGCCACGGGAGATGCGCACCTTGTTGCCACGGGAGATGCGCACCTTGTTGCCGCGGGAGATGCGCACCTTGTTGCCACGGGAGATGCGCACCTTGTTGCCGCGGGAGATGCGCACCTTGTTGCCGCGGGAGATGCGCACCTTGTTGCCACGGGAGATGCGCACCTTGTTGCCGCGGGAGATGCGCACCTTGTTGCCGCGGGAGATGCGCACCTTGTTGCCGCGGGAGATGCGCACCTTGTTGCCGCGGGAGATGCGCACCTTGTTGCCGCGGGAGATGCGCACCTTGTTGCCGCGGGAGATGCGCACCTTGTTGCCGCGGGAGATGCGCACCTTGTTGCCGCGGGAGATGCGCACCTTGTTGCCGCGGGAGATGCGCACCTTGTTGCCGCGGGAGATGCGCACCTTGTTGCCGCGGGAGATGCGCACCTTGTTGCCGCGGGAGATGCGCACCTTGTTGCCGCGGGAGATGCGCACCTTGTTGCCGCGGGAGATGCGCACCTTGTTGCCGCGGGAGATGCGCACCTTGTTGCCGCGGGAGATGCGCACCTTGTTGCCACGGGAGATGCGCACCTTGTTGCCACGGGAGATGCGCACCTTGTTGCCGCGGGAGATGCGCACCTTGTTGCCGCGGGAGATGCGCACCTTGTTGCCGCGGGAGATGCGCACCTTGTTGCCGCGGGAGATGCGCACCTTGTTGCCGCGGGAGATGCGCACCTTGTTGCCGCGGGAGATGCGCACCTTGTTGCCGCGGGAGATGCGCACCTTGTTGCCACGGGAGATGCGCACCTTGTTGCCGCGGGAGATGCGCACCTTGTTGCCGCGGGAGATGCGCACCTTGTTGCCACGGGAGATGCGCACCTTGTTGCCGCGGGAGATGCGCACCTTGTTGCCGCGGGAGATGCGCACCTTGTTGCCGCGGGAGATGCGCACCTTGTTGCCGCGGGAGATGCGCACCTTGTTGCCGCGGGAGATGCGCACCTTGTTGCCACGGGAGATGCGCACCTTGTTGCCGCGGGAGATGCGCAGGGAGCCCGAGGGCGAGAGGTACGAGGTGTCGAGCCACCCCTTGGCCTCGTCGCCCAGCAGGCGGAAGGGCACGGGGTACGGCAGGCGGTAGGGCCAGAAGGACAGCTGGAACGCTGCCCGGTCAAAGCGGAACGCCACGCGCGACGGCGATGCCACCGATGCCTCGGCCTGGATGGGGCGGACAACGGGGGCGGTGAGCGGCACAGCACAGAAGCCACTCCAACACAAAGGCGAGGGCGAGAGGGTGCGGCAGGCGGAAACATGTCGGTCATGTGAGGAGAAACGTGTTGAAGTGGAGACAGCACCGGTGTATGGAGGCAAGGCAATGGCAGCGTGAGAGCATAAGAGTGGTACGCAGGAGGAAGAGGTGCTTGCATGTGCGTGGGGGAGAGGGCATGAGGGCGAGCGAGCAGGGTGCAGCGACCTCGACTTTGAGGCGGCCGATGGCGTCCCCAAAGACAACAATGTTGTTGACCCGTGTGTTGCGCGGCTGCAGGGTTATCTGCTGATACACCTTGAATGCATCCACTCCCACGAACGCCCTCTGTGCCCCATGCAACATGACACACCATGCATTGCCACACACCATGCATTGCCACACACCATGCATTGCCGCACACCATGCATAGCCGCACACCATGAATTGCCACACACCATGCATAGCCGCACACCATGAATTGCCGTCACAGACAAACAGGGCAAAGCGGGCGTATGCGCAACCTCTACCCGTGACAGAGAGAACGATAATGGTGGGTGAGGGAAGGCAGGGACGGCAGGGGATGAAACGCAGAGTAGGCATGCGAGGCATGGGCTGCTACACGGTCGAGCTCACACAGGTGGGTGGCATGAAGCAGGCGCATGGACAGTGATTAACCACGGTGAAAAGCACGTGTGGCACAGCACGGGGTGGCAAGGTGGGGTGCGTCCCAGCGCAGGCAGGGCAGGGCAGGGCAGGGCAGGGCAGGGCAGGGCAGGGCAGGGCAGGGCAGGACAGGGCAGGGCAGGGCACCTGGATGGGCGAGGCGGTGCCGGGGCGTGTGGTGTATAGCAGCTCCCACGTGCCCTCCAGCAGTGGCGAGCGCGCCTGCCGTGAGACACAGGAGGCCAAGGACACGAAGAGCGGAGGATACGGAGGGACGATGCGGTGGCTCACCAACACACAAAGGTGCAGAAAGAAATGGTGGCTCACCAACACACAAAAGAAATGGATGTGCCCTCGCACCCAAACCCTGTCCATTCCTCGTCCCGTATGCCCCCCTTCCCTTTGCACGCTCAGCACAAAGCCCTGACTTCCTCCACACTCCCTGCCCTGCTCCACGCAATCCCCCGCTGTCTGCCCCCGGCCTGCATGTGCCCCCGGCCTGCATGTGCCCCTGGCCTGCATGTGCCCCACCCACAGGCACTCACCGGCTCCCGCACGCCCTGACTCGCCTCCAGGCGCTCCACCGCCCTCAGGATCGCCTGCACGCCATGGCAGCATGCATGGTGCACCCCCACCGCACCCCACACCCACCCCACACCGCACCCCACACCGCACCCACCGCACCCCACACCCACCCCACACCGCACCCCACACCGCACCCACCGCACACCACACCACACCCCACACCACACCCACCCCACATCGCACCCATGCATACCCACACCCAGAGGCGCATACAAGATGCACGCACACACGCACACACACAATGGCCCATGAATCGGGGAAGAGGAGTGCAGGAGATGGGAAGGGTGAAGGGCATGGCAGCAGCGATTGGAAGCTGGCAGCATCGTCACCACCGAGCGTGCACATGCACTGCTCATCGGCCGTTGTGCGCACTGCCCAAAGGCATGCGGCACAGCGGGAGGAGCTGCCTGGCCTGCCCACTACGAGGTCAGCAGCTTGGCGCCACGCTGGGGAAGACGCGCGCCAGCGGCGCTGCAAGACGGTGCAAGCGGAGGCGGGTTAAGAGGGGGGAGGGGCGCGGTGCCAGTGCACCGGCGCATCGTGCCCATCCCCGACGGCCCTCTCTGTGTGTCCCCGCGCTCACCTGCCGCTGCTCGTCCGTCACATCTCTCCCCCGCCCCTTCACCGCCCGCACTGCCGCCACCAACGCCGCCTCGTCCGCCGTCTCCGCCGCGCCCCCTGTGGCGACTGGTGACGGCAGACGTTGCAACGCCGCCGCCAGCGGCTGGAAGACGCCTGAGGGGGCGAGGGGGGGCGAGGAGGGGCGTGGCAGGGCTGGTTGAGGCGCGGGAGGCGGGATGTACGAGGAGAAGGAGACAGCTGTCCCGGCGGGTGGCGGCGGAAGAGGCAGTGAGCGAATGCGGACGGAGCCAGCGAATGGCAGAGGCGCGCCGACCTAACGGCGCGGAGGGAACACCTTGAGGGGGAGAGAGCGACGCGCGGACTGAAGCGCTGCGCCGTACGGACGCAGCGGGTGGAGACGCGGGCGCAGTGGGTAGGCGGGTGCCGCGAAAGGAACGGGTGGTACGACCGACGCATGACAACGGGGGAGGGGCGACGAGAGAAGCGCGGTGGGTTGCACGTGGAAGGACGGCCGCGGGGACGGAGGTCGGGAGACACGAGGAAGTGAGTGGCGCAGCCATGTGGGCGATGCAACCCACACTGCACGTGGAGGTGTTGGTGGCTGATGTGAACGTTGTGAGGGCTGGGTGGGTAGTGAGTGCTGACTAATTTGGTGGACAACCTTTTACAGAATGATGCGCAGCAACAGTGCGCGTCTGCGTAAATCTGGATGTTCAACGCGTGCGTTTTGTACATCTATGTGTAAGGAAATTTCCTTTTCCTTACTTCGCGTCCCCGCTCAGCGTGTACACCACTGTAGCACCACAGTCAGCACCGTTACCACTCACAAACCCTCGCATCGACAATCCTCCCGCCACCTTCGCATGTCGCACCCCGACCTCACGGCTCGGCGGGTAACCCGCGCTCCGGGCCTCCGCTTCGACATTTTCCCAAACCTCAGTCACAGGCCCGTCGCGCGACAACCACAGTCCATTACCATTACCACTGTAGTTTCGCTATATATTCTTCGCTCGTGCCTTCGCTCATTGTACTCTTGCTTCGATAGTGCAATTCTCGCTCGATCACTCAATTGCACTTGTAACACTTGGTATTCAGAGTCTACGATCTCTTCTCGGACTGCACCCACACCTTCGCTTCCCCACTATCTCAATTTTTTGGGGGGGTAGACGTCTATCAGCGATACAGCACCGCCGCTCGTAGTGCTCTCTCGTAAGCACGCACGGCCACGACAGAGGCTCTCGCTGAGCTTTCCAGACACCCCCGCCATGGCCGAATTCACGCTCGCGACGTTGAAGAATCGGCGCTCGAAATTGTGCGAGCCACGACCACTAGTGCGAGCAGCACGGACAGGCGACGCAGGACGAGACTCAGGCTCACGACGCTCAGCAAGACCTCCAGTAGGACCAGTGTAGGGAGAAGGAGCAGGCAGTGGGGAGGCTGGCTGTAACTGTGACTCAGACTGGACAGGCGGCGGACACTCTAAGAGAGGAGCAGGACCAAGAGAGGACGGAAGTCCAAGAACCTGCTCAAGGAGCGGAACGAAGTACGGCCGCGGCCGCGCAGCGCCACTAGAACCAGCAGGAACAGCACCAGCACCCGTAGCCCCCCCAGCTCCAGCAGCGCCAACTCCAGCACCTCCAGCACCCTCAGAAGCACCAGCGCCAGTAGCACCTCCAGCGCCAACACCCCCAGCAGCTCCAGCTCCACTAGGACCACCAGAAGACGCAGCAGCTCCAGCTCCAGCAGCACCAGCAGCACCGACGCCAGCAGCACCACCAGCTCCAGCACCAGGAGCACCCGCAGACTCAGCAGCTCCAGGACCCTCAGGACGAGCACCTCTGGGACCCGCGGCACCAGCACCCTCAGCAGCAGTAGAACCTCCAACACCGGCAGCACCTCCAGCTCCAGCGGCACGGCTCCAGCGCCGAGCAAACCACTCGCGCAGCTCCTGTGGAGAGAGGGGCTCTCGCCGGGACGAAGCACCCGAAGGACCTCCAGGCCCAGTCCCTCCAGACGCCACACGAGCAGGCTCAGCATCCCCAGGCTCCGCACCCCCAGGCTCAGCACCCCCAGGCTCAGCAACCCCAGGCTCAGCACCCCCAGACTCAGCACCCCCAGTCTCAGCACCCCCAGACTCAGCACCCCCAGTCTCAGCACGAGTCAGCACCCCCAGGCTCAGTACCCCCAGACCCCGCACCCGCAGGCTCAGCACCCCTAGCAGCACTAGAGTCAACAGCTACCTCGACAGGATCGACTGCGTCTACCTGGGACACACCTGAGGGGGCAGGACCCGGAGGGGGAGGGGGTCTACCGGGGGGGGACCTGGCGCGAGGAAGAGCGGCGGCGGGGGGAGGGACGCAGTGCGGTAGGGGAAGAGACGGTAATAGGGAAATGACTCGTCAAACGTGACGTCCTGAGAGGACAGAACACGGCGCGAGGTGGGGTGGTAAAACTGCCAACCAGGCGCGTCAGGGGGGAAGCCAAGGAAGACGCAGGGAACAGCACGGGGGGACAGCTTGTCCGCAGACAAGTCGCGGACAAACGCCCGAGATCCCCAGACACGGAACGCAGACGCATCGCCAACCTTCCCCGTCCACCGCAGAGCAGGGGAGGTCTCCGGCATGGAGACCCGGGGCAGAAGGTTGATCTGATGCGCCGCGTACTGAACCGCGAGCGGAGCCTCTGTCGGAGGAAACTCGGAGAAGTGAGGAGCAGCGCGCTGCCGCCCCTCGACGCAGGGAACGCAGTTAGGGGCAGGCCCTGGAGGAAGAGGAGGGAGGGACCGGGGGAGACCAGAGACAAGGACACGGGAGGCCATGCCTCGGAGACGAGGCAGGGAGGGGTGACCAAGGCGGTGGTGCCAGAGGAGAGTCTGGTGAGACAGGAGACGACACGAGCAGGGGGCAGACTCAGGACCAGACCTGGACGCCGCAGCAGACACCTGACCCGACGCAGCTACCTGACCAGACGCAGCAACCGGAGGAGACCCAGTAGTCAGTGTGTACAGGCTCGACCCCGGCCGACGGGTAAACGTGGCCAAGTGTCGGCCCGTCCGAGCACACGTGCAGTGGGTCACTCGCTGACTCGCAGGAGTGAACTGGTGAACCCCCCCATCCTGTAGATCAGCACCACTCACCAAGTTCGTAGAGAACGAGGGGAGGTAAAGACCTGACAGGGTGCCAGAAGGGGCCGCCGGACACGGTAAGACAGTGGAGAAGTGGGCAAGGACAGGACCCCCAGAGGGGTCTGCCAAGGAGACCGCAACTGGCCGACTAAGCGGCGTGAGTGTGGTGCGGTCTGGAAAGAAGGAGCGGGAAGCACCCGAGTCAAGGGTGAAGGTGTGGGAGGCCTGAGCCGACGTGGTACCTGAGAGAGCAGAGTCACCAGCACCTGGGGCAGCAGACTCACTAGCACCTAGAGCAGCAGCCTCACCAGCACCTAGAGCAGCAGCCTCACCAATGCCCGGGTCAGGCGGAACACACAGGTAACAGTCACCCTCATCACTAGTAGACACAGCATACATGGCAGCAAGAATAGCATCATAGTCAAGATCAAAGATAGCAACCCCCGCCCTAGACAGCTCGCCCCAGCGAGGGATCTCCGTGGCGTCAGGGAACTGGTGACGCCAAGCGTCCGTCAGGCGGCCGAAGCAGCGCTGGGTGGAGTGCGGGCCCCCGCACTGCTCACCAGTGCGGTCACCGGTGCGAAGGACGTAGGTACAGGGACCAGCACCTCCACCCCGCTGACGCCCAGCGTACCACTCACGAAGCTGCTGGGGGGACGGGGTCTCACGAGTGCGCTGCTGCTGCTGGCGCTGACCACCACCGGAGCCACCCCTCTGCGCAGAGCCGCGACCAGCTCCACCGCTGCCTCCGCCACCTCCGCCGCCTCCGCCACCTCCGCCTCCTCCGCTCCCACCGCCACCGCCGCCGCCTCCTCCGCCCCCACTGCTGCCACCGACGCCTCCACCCCCGCCACCACTCCCACCACCACCCCCACCCCCTCCACCGCCTCCACCGCCACCTCCACCGCCCCCGCCAGCTCCTCCAGCGCCCTTGCCCCCCTTGCCCTTGCCGGTGCGGCGTCTCCCGCTAGGGGCAGACGCAGCTCCGACCGACTCGAGGCCAACGAGGTCGGCCGCAGCAGCAGAGGCAACAGAGGGCAAGAGGGGGGAGGGGGAGCACCCCTCAAAGAAGGGGGTACGAGGGTCACCACGAGAGGCTCCTACAGCGACTATACTCTTCTCTGCTGCCAGGAGGCACTCCTCGAGGAGGTCAACGGTGAGTGTGGTGGGGCAAAGAGAGAGGAAGTGGTCCCTGACCGAGCGAAGGGAGTCAGGGAGCCGGGTGACTATGTAGTAGAGGGTGATGTACATGGGGGGGGGATTCTTGGCGCAGAACTCAGCAGGAAGCACAGCGCGGTAGCGAGTGTCACTAGTGCGAAGGTGCGTAATGAGGTCAGCGACTGTGGGAAAGGCGGCAAGGTCAGGGAACAGGTACGGCAGTATGAGACGGCTAAGGGCAGCAGTGGCAGGGGAAGAGTAGCGTGCAACTACAGCGTCGTACAAGGTCTTAGCACTCTTGTACTGACTAAAATGCGCACGCTCAGCGGTCGGTAAGTGGCGACGCACAGCAAGACGGGCAGCAGCATCGCGTGTGGCCCACTGTGAGCGAACAGTGCTGTCAGCATCGGCAGGCGGGGCAGGAGAGGCACCAGAAGTGAGATCGAACAGGGAGAGTCCGTCTGTCCTATCGCACTGTAGGAAAAGCTGCAGGTCATCGACCCAGACCTCAAAGTCAACAACCCGACCCTCAGCATCAAAGGTAAGGACACTGGGGGTAGCCATGACAGCAGCAGTCTAGCAGTGAGAGCAGTAGGCTAGGGGCAGCGCAGTGGCAAAGGCGCTGCGCGGGAGTGCTCTCACCAGTCCGGGTGGGTAGGGCCGGGGCGCGCCGGCAGGAACAGGGCCGGAACTGCGGCGTCGGCGGCTCGTCAGCGGCAGCAGCGGCTCGGCGGCGGCGGCGGCTCGACGGCGGCGGCGGCGGCTCGAAGGCGGCTCGGCGGCGGCGGCGGCTCGACATCGGCGGCTCGACGGCGGCGGCTCGACGACGGCGGCTCGACGGCGGCTGCGGCTCGGCGGCAGCGGCGGCTCCACGGCGGCGGCGGCGGCTCAGCTGCGGCGGTGGCGGCGGCGGCGGCAGGGCCGGGGCGGCAGCGGCGGCGGCGGAGAAGGCGGCGACGGGGCCGCAAAGGGCGGCGGCGGGGCCGCAAAGGGCGGCGACGGGGCCGCTGGAGGGCAGCGTCGGGGCCGCAAAGGGCGGCGGCTGGGCCGCGAAGGGCGGTGACGGGGCCGCTGGAGGGCGGCGACTGGGCCGCAAAGGGCGGCGGCTGGGCCGCGAAGGGCGGCGACGGGGCCGCTGGAGGGCGGCGACGGGGCCGCTAGAGAGCGGCGACGGGGCCGACAGAGGGCGGCGACAGGGCCTTAAGAGGGCGGCGACGGGGCCTCTAGAGGGCGGCGACGGGGCCGCTGGAGGGCGGCGGCGGGGCCGCTGGAGGGCGG